TTCAGATGATCTCTAAATTCAGGTGGGATATATTCAAGGTCATATTTTGGCTCTTGTGGACTTGTTTTCATTTTCTTCAGCTTCAGTTTGAATTTTCATATGAGTAATTGATGGCTAGAGGGTAGACACATATTTACATGGGTGACAGGGCAGGCAATATACAGCAGAGGAAAGATGAAGGTAGTGGGAGGAATGCAATAGTTAAAGTGAATTGTTGTTGTTAGGTGAATAGAGGTAAATAAATACTGTCAACTGTTGGTACAGGGAAGGGATTGCAACCACGTAATGAAGCGAAGTATGTGATTTGTTTAATGTAAAACTGATGATCTGCTCTGTAAACCTTCACTCAATTTGATTGCATGGATCTACTGACCTAAACAAAATGGAGTCGGTTTAATCATCAGGTCTCAATAAATGAGGACCCTGCAAATGAGGAAATGAGTTTAAATATTAGCTGAGGAGATGACCCATGACCCTGGAAGGAGAATAGGACATGCTTAAGCCCCAGAGAGTTATCTCAGGAACTAAGAGCTGTGGCCCTAAAGGTAGAATGTTTGAGGAAGTTTATTGTGTCTTATTGTGTCTTTTTCCAAAGATTTCCAAAATAGATTAAGTATACATCCAAATGTAACTTGCTCTGTATAATGTGTCTGCTCTTTGTGAAATATAAAATAGTCTTGAGAGATTATCCTCCCTGTCCTCCAGACTGCTGGCTTTGTGTTAACAATGCTTGGATCGGATCTCTCCCAGTCTCCGTGATTGACTACAGTGACAGGCGGCAAGCCCTTATTTCGGTTTGGCAACAAATTCACAATAAAAATTTAAATAAACAAATATAACAAATACTGAAATGACAAGAAAGAGAGAGACTTAAAGGACTCCCTTGAGAATTTCGTGTTTCAGTAACAGAATTTGCAAGGCACACACCCGGCACATAGACTCCCCTTTACTTTGGTCCCATTCAGACCAAACTCAAAGAAGATAGGTCAAACATGGGCAGGAAGACAGCACCTCTGACAAGAGCAGAAACAAACAGCAGAATATAGAGACAAAATCCAACACCTAAGAGGAGCCCATGTTTGGAAGAAAACCCACCCATTCACCCAGATGCCTGAGTTGTGGCTGTTAGTTCTGATTCTATCACACTGTTAACCCCTTCCCATCTGAACCAGTGAGCTACCAAGCACCTTGCTCCAAAATGACTCTTTACTCACACGTGGCATCCTGTATCCCCTGCTGAGAATGAAATCCATAAAGGCAACCGTCCCATAAAGATCTTCAAATAAGTCCTCCTAAAAGAGTGTCCACATTTCAAAAAATGGGTCAGCTGTCAGAAGTTTGTTTCAAGAAACTAAATCCAAACCCACTGCTGTTTAGTTAATTCCAACTCATTGTGACCCTGTAGGGCAGGGTAGAACTGCTCCTTAGGGTTTCCGGGGCTGCAAATCCTTACGTAACCAACTGCCGCAGCTTTCTTCTGCCTTTCAGCTGGTAGGTTCAAACCACCAACCTTTAGGTTAGGAGCTGAGCACAGTAACCACTGTGCCACAAGGGCTCCTTTGGTTTCATACTGTCGTCTAATTAAAAGCATTTCTGTCTTTATACAGTACACATTTTAAAACCACTTCCTCCTCATTTTGGAGTATGTATGTAAATAATGTTCACAAGTTGATAAATATGGATGTTTACAAAAGATGTCCAGCTTTTCCCTCTCCTTTTAGTTTTTTACGTATCCTCTTATTCAGAATAAACAATAGACTCCCTCTCTACTTGGTTCAAGCGGCCACTGCCATTACTGCTGCTGCTCACTTTCTGGCGAGTGGGAATCTCCCTGCAGTACCCTCGGTTTCCAGCTGTGCAGAGCCAGGATGCACTGCTCTTGCTCTGGGTCTTCATCATGGAGACCAAACAAGTGGAGTTTCCAGACAGTGTCCTGAATGATCTCTGCAGCTGATTTATTTTGCATATTCCAAGCAAGGAAAGAGACTATGGAATTTGTGTGTGTTTTCAATTTGAATTTGCCCATTGGTTTTACTTGGATTTCTACATGCAGAACACACCAGGATTACCTCAATGTGAGATAAGAGACTTTGCTAAAGCTGATATCCTTTTTATTTTTCATTCTTGTTAAAATATTTTAGCACAAATAATAAAAAAAAGAAGAAACAGTAAATGTAAATTACTAAATTAGATAATTATGGACCTAGCTATGCCTGAACATATTCTGTTTGAGATTAGCAATATATCCACAACTTCATATTGAATGACAAGAGGCCCCAAATAGCTAAAGCTGAAAGAGAAGAACAAATGAGGTGGACTGACACTTCTTATTAAAATATATTATGTTGTTGATAAATGCCATCAAGTTGGTTCCGACCCCTAGCAACACTGTATAGGAAAGAGCTTGAACTGCTGACCTTGCAGTTCAAACCAACTTTGTGGTCCAGCATGTTAACTCACCATGCCACAGCTATAGTAATAAAAACAGCTTGGTACTATTGTAACAATAGACATATAGACAAATGGAATAGAATCAAAAGTTCAGAAATAATCCTATACATCTTGTTAGGTGATGTCAAGTCGATTCTGATTCACAGAGACCTTATGCACAACGGAACGAAACATTGCCTGGTCCTGTGCCATCCTCACAATCATTGTTAAGTTTGAGCCCATTGCTGCTGCAATAGTGCAAATCCATCTTTTGGGGGCTCTTCCTCTTTTTTGTGACCCTTCACTTTACCAAGCATGATGCACTTCTCCGTGATAATATGTCCTGATAATATGTCTGAAGTATAAGATGTAGTTTGTCCATCCTAGCTCCTAAGGAACATTCTGACTATATCTCTTCCAAAACAGATTTGTTTGTTCTTCTGGCAGTCCATGGTACTTTCAATGATCATCTCCAACACCATAATTCAAATGCATCAATTCTACAATTTTCCTTATTCCTGTCCAATTTTCAAATGCATATGAAGCTATTGAAAATACAATGGCTTGGTTCAGGCACAACTGAGTCCTCAAACTGACAGCTTTTCTCTTGGACACTTCAAAGAGGTCTTAGGCAACAGATTTGCTTGGCTGCTGCTTCCATGAGTGTTGATAGCGGATCCAAGCAAAGTGAAGTCTTTGACAACTTCAATCATTTATCCATTTATCTTGATGTTATTTATTGGTCTAGTGGTAAGGATTTTTGTTTTGTTGACATTGAGGTACAACCATTACTGAAGGCTGTGATCTTTGGTCTTCATCAGTATTTTCATCAGCTTGTTTTCAGCAAACAAGGTTGTATCATCTGCATATCACAGGTTGTTAATGAGTATTGCTCCAATCCTGATGCCATGTTCTTTTTGTAATCCAGTTTCTCGGATTATGCTCATCTACAAATTGATTTAAGTATGGTCAAAGACTACAATCCTGGTGTACACCTTTCCTAATTTTAAACCATTCAGTGTCCCCTTGTTCAGTTCAGACCATGCCTCTTGATCTATGTATAGATTCCTCATGAGCACAATTAAATGCACTGGAATAGTCATTCTCTGCAATATTGTCCATAGCATGTCATGATTCACAGTTGTGTAGTCAATAAAGCACAGGTAAACATCTTTCTGGTATTTTCTACTTTCAACCAAGATCCATCTGAGATAGCAAAGATTTCCCTCATTCCACATCCTCATCTGAATCTGGCTTGAACCTCTGAGAGTTCCCTGTCAATGTACAGTTGCAGCCCTGTTTGAATCACCTTTAGCAAAATTTATGCAATGTTAATAATATTGTTCAATGATTTCCACATCTGTTAGGTCACCATTCTATGGAATGGGCACAAATATGGATATCTTCCAGTCAATTGGCCAGGTAGCTGTCTTCCAAATTTCTTGGCATAGAAGAGTACGCGCCTCGAATACTGCATCAGTTTGTTGAAAGATTTCAATTTGCTTTCTATCAATTCCTGGAGGCTTGTTCTTTGCCAAAGCCTTTAGTGTACCTTGGACTCTTGATCATATGATATCTCTTGAAATGGTTGAATATCAACCATTTCTTTTTGATACAGTGAATTTGTGTATTCCTCCTATCTTCATCTGATGCTTTCTACATAATTTAATATTTTGCCCATAATATCCTTCAATATTGCAAGTCGAGGCTGGAATTTTTTCTTCAGTGCTTTAAGCTTGAGAAATGCTAAGCATGTTCTTCCCTTTTGGTTTTCTTACTCTAGATCTTTGCACATTTCATTAAAATACTTGACTTTGGCTTCTTGAGCATACCTTTTGAAATTTTCGGTTCAGCTCTTTTACCTCTTCATTTTTCATTTTGCTTAAGCATCCCTATACTGGACAGTAAATCTGAGTCATTTATGACATCATTTTTGTCTTTTCCTTCTTTCTTGTCTTTTTAATGACCTTTTGCTTTCTTCCTTCATGATGTTTTTTGGGGGGTTTTCCATTTTATATTAGTGAATATATTTTTCTATTTTCCATTTTTTTAAAAGGTTTTTATTGTGGATTGAGTAAAAGTTTACAGGGTGGATCATCAGTTTTACATTCAACAAATCATACATCTTGTTTCATTACAATGATTATAACCCCCTCCATGTATCATCAGTTACCAGTGTTTCTCTCTGTTCATTTTAGCTTTTTTTTTTAACACTCAGGCATATATAATCATTTACACCTCCAAAGGGTACATTCTGAAAGTCTGCCTCCGGGCCACCATCTCTTAGTCCCTCACTTCCCATGAATCTAGAGTCCTCTCTCCATGTCCCTTTCTCTGCCTCCTTCTCTACTATCGCTGCTTCTCTGAATAAGGTCTCTCATTCCGCTTGTGCTCTTCTCCCTTGATGATCCTAGGGTCCTTTGGTTCTGGACTGTAAGTTTAACCACGCCCCTGTTTTTGTTACAAAACTTTTACCTTTACAATTGTGAGAGTCACAATTAGTCATGATAACAATTACTCACTATAGAATCGTAAGAATCTTATCCCCATCTCTTTTAACCAGACCCATCTAGACAAGAGGAAAACTATTCAGTGGGGACACTTTCTTCCCACACACACTCTTAAACTAAATTCCCTCTTGAAACATTGTAAGCCAGTCACTTCTTGCCTTTATCACCCCCTCATTTTAGGTAGCCAATGTCTAAGTTGCCCATCCCTATCCACATCAGCTGGGTGTTTCACTCTCAGCTCTAGCCCTCTGTGGCTATGTCCTTGCCCATAGGCTCAGGTGTCCCCAGGTCTCACCATATTTAGGACCAACCAGCCTTCCTTTTCTCTCTCTCATCCCCAGGTCAATGGGAGTCAATGGACCATGGTTGAACTCAGCCCATTTCTTCATTGCTGCCCTTTCCCCTCTTCTATTCACTAGTTGACGAACTCTGCATGATGTTCTTGATGTCATCCCCAAACTCTTCTGGGCTTCAATCACTAATATCTAATGCATCAAATCTGTTCTTGAGATTATTTCTAAATTCCAGTGGTATATGTTCAAGGTCAAATTTTGACTCCTGTGAACTTGGTTTAATTTTCTTCAGCTTCAGCTTAAACTTGCATATGAACAGTTGATGGTCTGTTCCTGATGATATGGAACTTTTTCACCATCTCTTCCCAAAGATATAGTCAATTTGATTTCTGTAAATACTGTCTGGTAAGGTCCAGACAATATATAGTGTATAGTCATCTTTTATGTTATTTTTTAAAGTTATTTTCAATGAACATGTCATTGCTCTTGATAAATTCTATCATGCAATCTCCAGCATCATTTCTATCAACAAGGCCATCCTACATCCTATAAGCATACACATCAAGGTCAAGTAATTTCGATAAGGATGCTCAATCCACTTGATGAGATAAGAATAGTCTCTTCAATAAATGGTGCTATAAACATGCAGAAAAATGAAACAGGATCCACAACTCACACCATGCACAAAACAAATTCAAAATGGATTCATAACCTTAATGTGCAAACTAAGACCATAAAAATCTTAGACAAATAAATTGTGGCAACAGTGAGAAAAGCAGAAAATTGGACCTCATAAAAACTAGAAAAATGAAGAAAGAAAAGAGACGTTACCAAAAAAGTGAAGAAATAAGGTACCATGACTGGGAAAATATCTCCAGAAACCATTTATTCAACAA